TTTTATATGAATACTCGATAGCTTCTTTTCTCTCATTGCAATATATCTGTATAATTGCTGCAAGTTAATACTCACAGACCGTGGTACTTCAATTTTCGACTTCGCATCACTAGCTAAGTAGCTAGTTTGGTTACCGCGCGCGGCAGTGGTTTCACGCTAGTTGTATTTTGTCTCTCCTACCCAGCCGATCGAGATGATTGGGACCTCGCCTATACGCACAAACCCAGCCTGCCTTCTAGATCGTGATTAGGTCCGGTGTGACTGCATGCGTGGCTAGCCTTTGGCGCTCTGCGCAGCGGCGAATCTGGTGACGGGAAGACCTTGTCATCGTGAAGACGACGTGTTTCTAGACAAGGTTCGTCCATGTGGAGCGGTCGCTTTTCGGCTACTCTGACTTGCTCACTTGCCGTGTAAGCTCATACGTATATGTCTCAACATCGATTGATCTTTGATTTGCTAGGCGACTAGGACGTCGATTCGCCATTTTTTCTGGGTGCGTGTATATGTCCCTAGCTATGATCTGCCGTCTGCGCCTCATTTAGAAGTTTTTTTTTTCTATTAGAGGAGTTTTACGAGAAATATTTTTATAATATATAATTTATAATAAAGTATTTTTTTAAAAAAATGGTTGGTCAAAGACAATAATGTTTGATGTAGAATAAAGCTAATGTGATATGTAAAAAACGGAGGGAGTACAGAGTTGCACAGTAATCCATGGCTTGTAATTACTCATCGCGAAGAAGTGTTTGTGTGGCTAAGACAAACTTTGCGTTTCGTTTGGTGCGGGGTCATTTGCACGGGATCGGACCGTACATGTGGTGGTGCGTAATATGCAGATCAATCCGAAAGCAACAACGAATAGAATTTAGCGGTTCACCTAGCCACGGTACAAGGACAAACAGCTCGCTAGTACTGTACATTTACAGCAAACAAACGTGCTCTGTAACTTACATTACAGCAATACACGTGTGGATAGCATCAAACGCGAGTATCGTGTCCCATCATTACATGCATTGTGTTACATACCGGCTTTACTATGATATTCTTAAATAAATGTGAATCATTTATTTAATTAGATCGGCTAATAACAATCATCTATTACCTCAAAGAAGATAATATATTAAATATATATTTATTTTAATTTACAATTTTGTAGAATATGATAAAATAAATACAGTTTTAAAAATAAAATCTTTTTTTTTCTAGATCTAATTGATGTGTTTGTGATCTTTTGGAGGTGGTAAATCTTTTTATTTTTAGAACTTTGGATTGGACGTGGCATCTTGATTAGCATGTTAGTCGTTGATCATTTTGATGCGTGTAACATTTTGGTTCCCAATCTCAGCATTAGCAAGCGTGTTCCTTTTGCATTCCTTCTCCTCTCTGTCAGATCTGGTGCGCTGTGGCGCTGGACGAGCGCAAGGGCACAACGTTAGCTAGGAGGAGCAAGTGCACTGCACCGACAAACACAGAGCAAGGGTCGGGCGGCATCCACAACTAGGGTCCTAAAAGTATCCCGAAGTTGCTCTCCATCCATCGATGTTTTCGTCTAATTCACCCTCACCCCAATATTACAGTAATAGGAAGGCTGTGGTGGGTTCGGAGCTGGAAAATGCGACGACGGCGCAAAGGCTAATGGTCGCGGCGGTGGCTTGGCAGTGGCGGGTGCCCATATCATTGGTCTTTCTTTTTTTGACAACATATCATTGGTCTATTGGTCACGGTCACCGATTGCATGTCGCCTGCATGGTCTTGGCCCTACATCAAGTCGGAGTTTGGACGCGTGGTCGGCAGCCAAAAAAAAAGTATTGCACGAAAGGTTTTCTACATCAGGCATGCAGCGAATTTTTCCCTCCTGGCCTGATCCTGCTACTGTTTGCGGCGAATTAACGACCTGTGCATACACAGCCGTACACTTGTGTGGACAAGCGCAAGCATCCTACTCTATTGATGCATACGTTCACGGTCCTCACGTACAAAAATCAACGAAACAGAATTGCGTCCTCTACCTACAAGCTAGCTGAGCCCCGTACGTGTCGTAATCAGTCCATTTCTTGCATTGCGCACGGTGATGTTTTTGAAAGGGCCTCAAATCGGAAGCGTCCTATTTCCATACAAAGGGGCGTATATCAACCATTTTGGCGTTGATGTTTTTGACAACTGGATTTGCCGATATATATGCCAGAGTGGTCGTGATCAGCGACGTTGCTAGTGGTAGTGTGCCTTACTCAAGTGAGCTTAGTGGCGTTGTGCACGAGTGATCGTGGCCGATGATGTTGCTAGTGAAGGCATGATCTACTCGGGTGAGTCCAATAGGAAATAGCGTGGCATGACGGAGTAGTTGTAGCTGATGACGTTGCTACAGGCGGCGTGTCCGAGTAGTCGTGCCTCACCCCCAGCTTTGTTAGTGGTGGCGTGACCGATTCGGGTGAGCCCTACGGCGAAATGGCCTGTAGTCATGGGCTCATGGCCGTCGATTTATCATTTACTGATAGAAGATATCGTTCCCGTTTGTTTTAGTGGTGCCTCTAGTCTCCGTGCCCCTGTCACAAGGGTTAAGTGGGTCTAAGGGCTTGTTCGCTTGGAGGAATTCTGGAGGAATTTGAATGGTTTGGAGGAATGCTGGAGGAATTTGTGAGAGAAAAACACTGTTCCAGATAAAAAAAGAAACGGATCAAGCCGGGTTTAAGGGCACGCGAACGGAGCCTAAAGCTACTACAGGTTGAAACGAAGTTGTCTCGATCCAGTATGTTTCGTTGGTACTAGCAGATATGCATGTGCTTTGCAACGAAACATATATTTTGTGTCATCTGTTCCAATATGTCTTGGAATGGACTTCGTACCGTGATTAAACGCACACACTATTCTAACTCCTATAAACATGGGTCGTGACTTGTGAGTTTGCGCACACCCTATTCTAACTCCTGTAAGTATGGGTCGTGAGTCCAGGTCTTAGACTGGATACTGTAAACCAATTAGAACTCTTATCTGATCGAAACCAAGGCTGTCCCGATCTAGATCCAGCATATTTTCTTGTTACATGGTATTCGTCAGTAGCATCCTATGGTCGAAACCAAGGTTATCTCGATTCAGTACATTTTCTTATTTCGTCTGCAGCATCATATTCTATAGGCTATATCTACTTTTATCTATCTATTATATATCATCTGTTATATACCTAACATTAATATCTATATTTATCTATTATATACCTAATATTAAAGAGCTCGCTCTTCACTCTCTCTGATCCCTCAAAGTCTGCCGCCCTCCATTGTCACCTTTCTTGCTTTGAGTTTGGAGACATAGAACCTTCGTTGGTGTCGTAACACTTAGTATCATGAATTAGCTACCTAAGCTCGTTTGTGGCACGACTCGTGTGGTGGCACCTAGCTCATCTTCTACCTTTCTTAAACGCGCACGGTTGCACATAATCTCATTGTCCCACTGAAAGTAGGACCCACGAACAATGGAGGTTGGAGCGAAGAAACCCTCCCAAAACGGCAAAACCCACGCAAAGGCAAGGCCAGGCGGCCTTGCTTCCAAACCCCCAGCCCGGGGCTTCCGTATTGCTGTCTGCCGTAGAAGAGAGCTGATAGGAAAAGAAGTGGAGGGGTTTGGTGAAAAGTTCCCGTCGCTCCGCGTCGCGAGGTGGGGGACGAGATGAGAAAATTAGAATTTTGCCCTTATAGCAAGTGGGTTTCGTTCAAATGCCATTGAAGTTGTGGGCTTCGCCAGAATGCTCTTACGAAATAGGTGCTTCACGCTATTTTGCCATTTCCTGATTTTAGACTACCAAAAAAATTTCAGCCCAAATTTTCACATGCTCTGACCATTTTACCCCTGCCTCCGTTACTCCTCGTTCTCTCTTCTCCTCACGGACGGTAAGCCGTCTCTCTCTCTCTCTCTCTCTCTCTCTCCCGGCGGGGATATCTCCCGGGCGAGAGTAGGACGCCGGCGGCCGCCGTCCCGGGCTGCTCCTCCCTAGGCGTGTCGCCCCATCATGAGTCGTGACTGAACCGCATCGTCCCCCGCGCCAACTGCTCCGGCGAGTTAGGCATGGCCATCCTCCTCCGTAGCCGCCATGACTGCTGGCCCTCCTCGGCACTGCTTACCATCACCTTCTGCAGCTCCCACGGCCGCCTTCTACCCCATGTCGTGCCGTAGCGCCGCTTTTATGTGGCCCGCGCCTCAGCCCAGCCGCTCGAGGGATGCGGACGGCACGGCCTGCTCGTCGGCAGCTCGGGCAGGGGTGTTGCGCAGGGTTCGACAACGTGCCTTGGGAGGAGCGGCCCGTGGACGTGCTCCCGCCCGGGAGATCGCCCCGCCGGGAGAGACAGAGACCAGACGAGAAGAGACCCTGCGATCTAGCCCGGGAAGCTGACGTTGCCGTCGAACTGCAACGACCGGATGACCTCGGTGGGCGGGAAGGACTGGAGCGACGACGACAGCACCACCATCACCATGCGGCGGATAAGAAGCCGGACAGGCGCGCCACCCACATCATCATGCTGCTCCCCGCGGCTTGGCTAGGGCCGCCTTCGCCTGGGGCAGGGAGCCGTCTTGGGGGCGGATGACGGCGGCGAGGCTCGGCCTGAGGGCGCGGCGCGGGGGTGGAGGGGTGGGGGGCGGGGGGCGCCCTGGGGTAGCGGCGCTCTGCCTTTCCCGCGAGCGAGAGAATGAGAGGGGGAGAGATGAGAGGGCAGGGGTCAATGAGCTCAGGGGCAAAATCGTCAGTTCAGGCTAAAATTTTGGATGAAAAATATTAAAAGTAGATTTAAATCTTAAAATGATATTATAACATGTTGGACTCATTTTATAAGAACATTTCAGCAAAACCTACAAACTTATGGTATTTTGGCGAAGCCCACCCGCCATTAGGGCGAATTTCCAATTTTCTCGGGACGAGACGAGGGAGAATTTCCAATTTTCTCGGGACGAGACGAGGCCTGAGCGCCCCAAACCCAAACCCCAGAACCCCGACCTAGGGTTACGCCATCGCCATGGGATCTGTTGCCTCCGCCGCCGTGCCACCTCCTCCTCACTCAGCGCCGCCCCAGGTGGGCGCGCCGCCCTATGGGCCCGGGCTCGCCGGGATCCTCCCGCCGAGGTCGGAGGGGGAGGAGAAGAAGGAGGAGAAGGTGGACTACCTCAACCTCCCCTGCCCCGTGCCATTCGAGGAGATCCAGCGCGAGGCCCTCAGTTTGTCCCCTTAACCCTCCAGTTTTAACTCCATAACCAGCTAGCGCGTGTGCAGTGCTGCGGCATTGTGTAGTTTTCACTCGGTATGCGCTGCCCTCATGTGGTTGGTGATACCCGTGGTAGAATTGGTTGATTGGCAGCGATTGAATTGCCTGATGTGGATCGATTTCTAGGCTGCTGCTTTACTTTTACGGGGTTCATAGTTGGATCTGAAAATTACGGTGCTTCGTTGATTGTCATTATTACACAGCTTTGATAGATGTGTCTTAGGAATTGCTCGGCGATTTGTATGACGCAAGTATCTTTTGCACACAATTCTCACTGTGCAACGCATGAACTGCTACTGTAGATGCAGTTTTTGCTCTAATATAAGTCATTTGATTCCACCAACTCCACTACACTTGCTGTCTCTAGGATTTGGTATTTGTCTAATTATTTATTTATAACATTGATATCTTGTCGCAAATGTCAATTATCCATATACACCACGCCTCTATCTAGATGACTTATGACTTGTTTACTCAGTTTACCAGCTCACTGCCCATGTTTTTTATGCATATTCCATAAATTGTAAGAAAATCTTCTTGATGCTTTTTAGGCCTCCACGTGTGGCACAAGTTGTAGCATCTGAACGTACATCTCAACACACCCCATATACATCAATTAATGCCCTTAAAACATACACTAGATTGACCCTATGCACACATACACCTGCTGAAGAGGTTCATGAAGCCCTGGCTTGGAATATGAGCCCGTCGCTGTCCCATTGTGGCTCAAAGACGCTGGTGGCCAATCTGGAAATTATTTTGGTGGCATGCCATGATGAGACATCCACCAAATAATCCTGAGGATTGAACCTGACCCTGAGTTGTGGCGCAAAAATCCTAGAGGCTGATCTGGAAACTATTTTGGGGGCATGCCACGATGATACACCTTTCAAGCAATCCTGATGATTGAACCCGAGCGAGCAGCTTGCCTCACAGGCCACGTTACCCAGTTACGAGCCTGTTCTCAATCAGTTTGATAGTTGACATGGCCTTCTGATATACTAAGAGAATAGTATTCTATTATTAGTTAGCTGGTTATAGAAAGCACAATTTAGGTGAAGGGGTAATCTGTGTTTTGTGTCCATGTCCAGACTTCTTTGCTGTTTAGTTCTTACCACAAGCTTTTATGCACATCTTCAGTGCCTAAGATCTTTTCAGACTTCTTATAGATTCTCATGTGCATGGCAACTTGCTTGGGTCCTACTCCTACCTTATATATTTGGCAATGGGCATTGCTCAGTGTACTTTGATAACTGAAAATTAGCTATAAATATAGGTTGATCCCATAAGCTGCCTTTCTGTTTTTCCCTCTCCAATAAAATCTTCAGCATTTCTTTCTTAACTTTAGTCAAGTTCAACTGTTCAAGTAGTCTCCATCAAATATTGTTCTTGAATGTATCAGAAAGAGATGAGAAGTACTGGAAGCTAAATGTTATGGTTGAATAGAATGATTGAACTGCAGTAATGTTCAAAATTTAGATTTAGATTACAATATAGAATACCATTTTGAAATTTTGTCCACTTGTTGAGTTCCCCTTCAATTAACTAGGGATATATGCCCTATGTAGTTCAATTAATTTTGTGTATGACCAAAGCAATAGCAAACCAAATGGTCCAATTGTTGTTGTTGTTTTTTGGTGCGTCCATACTACTGTATAACTTTAGTATTGCTTTCATGATCTCTGCTGACATGCTCCTTTTGCAGTGTCTTTGAAGCCTGAACTTTTTGAAGGATTGAGGTTTGACTTCACAAAACCGTTGAATCAAAAGTTTTCTCTTAGCCACAGGTGAGACCGTTACATAAATGTTAGCAAATATCTTATGCTATATTTGTCCAGAGTATATCCTAACAACATCTTCCACAGCGTTTTTATGGGCTCCTTAGAAGTTCCAGCCCAGGCATCTGAAACTATTAAAGTTCCAACTGCGCATTATGAATTTGGTGCCAATTTTTTAGATCCAAAGGTTTGTTTCCATGCCATCCATTGTTATTGTGGCATCTTCCACAATGATGTATTTCTTCAACTCATTTGCTTCTGTGCATGAAACTACGTGTAGTTAATGCTCATTGGAAGGGTGATGACAGATGGAAGGCTTAATGCTCGTGTGAAATGTGATTTGACAGACAATCTGACGCTGAAAGTAAATGCACAGGTAGATGGATCAAAGAGTTTAGGTTCACTGGGTCATCCTTTCTTTTGTTGATACTTTGCTTTCCTTATTCTACTGATGGTTGCTCTTTTCCCAGCTTACCCAAGAGGCACATTACTCACAAGGAATGTTTAACTTTGACTACAAGGTTGGCATTTCTGACAATTCAGTCAATTATAGTTTTCCAAACTTTCATGATTGATTTTTTTATTAGCATTTGTAATAGGCAAACTTTTACTTTACTTCTAGGAGTACATTTTATCATACATTTATTAGTTCCTTGCATCAACACTTCACTTATTTGTACAGGGAAGTGACTATCGAGCACAATTCCAAATTGGGAACAATGCATTCTATGGTGCAAATTATATTCAGGTAAAAACTTTAGCAATGCACTTTACTTTCTAAGTTTCAACTTCCATCTTAATGTTAATGCGTTGTTGTAGAAAGATGGAAAAAATGACTCATTTGGTGGTTTAATGCCATGCAAAATTCAGTAGCCTTGGTTTATGCCCTCCTTTCATATTTGTGCTTCTTGATATCTGTTTGAGTTTCATATATCTTTTTCCTCAAGCATTTACTATTTGATTGCTTAGCTGCCGTCAGTTAATTATCTTACTACCTTGTTGATGTGGATATCCTAAGGATCAAGGATCAATTCAGTCTGCGCTATGCGCTTTTAAGCTTTTAGTTTTGAATACAAATTATATTTGACTACAGGATGTGTAGAGATGACATCTGAGTTGCTTTGTTCAATGCCAAATTCAAGATAAGTAGGCTGGAGTAAAAGTTATGCATTTTCTGTTGCATTTAGGTTATGCTAGATGCTAGTACAGTTTGAAGTTTTCAGCACTAACAACTTACTCGTGCCTGGCTCTTACATTTTGTACTTTGCTAAGTGCTATGCTCTTTTGTTCATTAAGTAATTCTTTATATGTGAGTTTCCTCTATTGAATTGGAGCAGGAGAATTCATGTTCTCATCTATTAGAATGATGTGCATTTTCTGTATGTTAAATTAGCTTGGCTTATTCCAGCTATAAAGATTGATTGATCATTATTTAAGCTTTTTCTGATAATGAAACCTTACTTTTCAGAGTGTTACTCCGAACCTATCAATGGGAACTGAAATGTTCTGGCTTGGTCACCAAAGGAAGTCTGGAATTGGTTTTGCCTCTCGCTATAACACGGACAAAATGGTATGGAGCTGGTGGATCCCTTGCTATTTTGCTTGTATAACCTTGATATTGGTAAAAGAATTTGCAGCCTGATTATTAATTTTGCAACAAGGGCTGAACTGGTTATTGACTTATAATATGTTCAAATTGACTGAAGTTCTAAGCACCTAGCTTCATTTTCCCCATATGTTCTTGTTTGCATTAGTGTCTATTCTGTCTGTGCTGCCTTTGTTTTGAAAGTTTGTGAGAGCTCTGAGACTTCTGTTCGAAACAACTAGAAGCCTTTTTCTCGAAGTTACATGTTTAATAGGAGTACAAAAGTCACTTATTTATCGTCATCATGTCGCTGAACACCAGAAGACACAACGGCACAATGAGTGTTTCCCTTTTAATGTCAACATTGCGGTAGGTGTAATGGTGTTTGATATGGTCTCTGCTGGGGGGCGCCGCCCATGGTACAAGAAGAGGACCTAGCCTTCTTTTCTTGCCTGCGACACAAGATGCGTATAGCTGCCTCTATAGACCAGGCACCCAATAACCCAACTAACAAATCCTGTCAAAGTAACCAATTAACTCCTATCTGCTAACAATCCTGAAACAAACTACGAAATTAATGACTTGTAGGTGATCACACCACACCTGGGCCACCTGTGTAGATGCTGCTGCCCATGTCCTGCGGCCTTCATGCCAGCAGTGTCAGATCTAAAGGACCTGAGTTCATGCCTATCTGAACTATGATCAATGGTGGATTTGATGGCCTGACCAGTTGATCCAAAGAGTTACAAACATGGACTAGCATACGTCGTAGCATCACAGGCTTAGTGACAAAGGATGAGTAGATTGCCTTATGCCCACCTTTCCCCGTTAGCTTGGCAGTGAACTGGTTGGAAAATGGAACTCAACAGCATCAAGGAACGGGCATAAGAGCACCTTTTCGTCATTGTTCAGCTCACAGAGCTTTACTTGAATGGCTTCCTTAAGTGCACACTTTTGTTGTACCTAGAACCTGAGTTGCTTTTAAGAATGCAACACAATCACTGTTTTCTGTTATAAATATTTCAGGTGGGCACTCTACAGGTCGCAAGCACTGGAATAGTTGCCTTAAGTTATGTCCAGAAGATCTCCGAGAAGGTTGACTTTCACCATGACAGCAGTATGCTTTCAATGCTGTGTTGGCTTATTCTATGGTTACCCTTATTTGCAGGTTTCCCTTGCGTCTGATTTCATGTATAACCATATGTCAAGAGATGTAACTGCCAGCTTTGGTTATGATTACTTGCTTAGGCAGGTCAGTGTTTACAGATAGCATTGCATTAGCTATTGAGCTCCTCCAAGTAGTGTACCTTTGCACTGTTTTTATTTGTATAAATGAGTATTCTTGTGGAAATCAATTCTGTTGCAGTGCCGTCTAAGAGGGAAAATAGACTCAAATGGTGTTGTTGCCGCATACTTGGAGGAGAGGTTGAACATGGGTGTCAACTTCCTTCTATCTGCTGAGGTAAGCATGGGTTATAATCAGTTCCAGGAGGGTTTCTTTTCCCCATTTCACTCTTTGAATGAGCAAGAATTAAATACCCTAAGGTTTATTGGAATATTTTATCGACATTGCAATTTCACGTTGCAGATTGACCATTGTAAGAAGAACTACAAGTTTGGTTTTGGAATGACCGTAGGAGAGTAATTCTGCTAAGCAGTTGCTGTGAACGCACATGAGATACTTATGCAGTCGGCTTTCCATGTATGTTAAGATACTTCAGGCCTCAGTTTTGATTGACCAGGTTCTGCCCTTTGCGCCGTGGAAAAATACAGGCTGTTGCTGCTTTACAGGGCGTCTTTCAGTGTATTGGTGGTTGTGTATTTTCAGCTACTTGAGCATGGGGGCCATGATTCTTTGGTCATCTTGGATGTAACTAGCTGATTGGTGTTCCAATAATGTTGTATTGGCGGAACAATTTTTACCTTTCAAATCACCACCAACCCACCACACTAGGCCTTTTCTGTACCATCGTACACGAGCCACGAGATTTTACAGTTCAAAGCTTCTCACCAATTGGCACTTTGCCATATTTGATGTTGGCTTGTGCTTCTGTTCATCCATGGCAACTTGGCAAGTCAGAAATCTTTCAGTTCAAATCGTTTTTTTTTTCAGAAGTTACCGCTGCATAAAGGAGAATGTGGAATCATTCTACCAGTTAGCTACTGGCCTACTTTTCTATTTCCATCGTCTAGAAAGGAATGCAATTCTAGTTAAAAGTTGGATCGACAGTGTCTTATCTCCTGAAGCGACTATTTTCATGTTGGGTGAGAGAGTATCAACATGTCAATCTGTCACCCTGCTTCAGCTTTGGTTTGGTGGCTAATGCCAACCGAAACGATGCCATGAAAGACTGCGAGTTTATATTACAAAAGAAAACCGGTCGCTTCAAAACTTGTGTCCTATAATAATCTTGCCATGAAAGTTGTAAGGATCATTCTTTTATGACCATATCTTTTAGTTTTGGCAATTGAGATGACTATTGAAAATGTGTGCGAACGATGTGTTCGACATGTTATTATAAGTCCTAGAAATGTAAAAAAAAAAGTGGTGCTAAAGATATTGTCGACATGAAATTACAGGCCCTATAGGGATGAAAAATAAGAAGTGGTGCAATGACCAACAAAAAAGCAGAGCAAAGAGGATTAGTGTGCCAAAAAAGCACATGACTGACGATTAAGAGCTAGTCTGGCCAGCAACTAGTGCTGAGGGACTATGAACATAATCGATCGGACAGTGTTCGTCCAGAGGAAGAACAGTTCATCCACGCTAGAATATGCGCCGGAGCACTCGTCCGGTATGAAGTCAAAAGCCAACAACGAATCATCCGGCGGTATTTAGACGTTTGGCCACTATACAACACTGTGTGCCAGCGTGCACCCGACAATCCGGTGAAAGGAAGTGCATAGCGACGAATCATCCAGTCAGTGTACATTAGAGGCGTGGCTACAATGGTTAACACACACAGGACAGTTCGGTGGAAGAAGAAAAAGGAAGCAATGGACCGTTCGGTGATAAAAAATAATGCAACTGCTAGTAGCACCGTATGATCCAGTGTCGTATATTTGGCCAAAAAAAAACTGACAGACTTTTTTCAACGACTCTTTTTGGTGGATGGGGGCACACATACATATAGAGTTTTTATGGCAAAAATATTTCTATCTGGGCTATAAACAAGTAGAAGATTCATAAGGAATAACTCACTTAACGTTTGAAATTACTCCATCGCAAAATAGGAGGTATGATTCGACTTGGTGCAGTCTTCAAGATCACGTTGACCGTTAATTTCTCTTGTAATGTATAATAATTATGGCAACAAAAGTATCATTAGAAAGTCTTTATAGACACAAATCTAATGTTACTATTTTTGTAATATAAGCTTTGTATATGATTAGGATAATTGTTGATAAGAAATAACAAGGATTTTAATTTTGAAATACGTGCATGCCTTATATTTCAAGACGGAGGAGTAATGCAATGCATAATCTATAGTGCACCTCATGACTAAGTTAGATTGAATTATGAACCTAGCCTTGTTTTCCTAAATGCCACAACACCGTCCATACTTTGTAGAAAAAAAAGTAAAATGCACCACAGGTCTATTAACTTTCAGAGGGGTGTCATTTGGGTCCATCAACTCTCAGAGTGCATTTTTTTGTCCTTAAACTTTTTATGTTGTACACCACAAGTCCATATCGGTTTGAGAGCTTGATATTTTTTCATTGAGCCCCTTCCCTTCTATAATTCTCTTTCAAAATAGCCCCAACAGAGAACCTGATCAGGTGGCCCTGCCTGTAGCCCCGTTGTCGCCGGGCGAGCGAACCATCCACGACACGCCCGCGCAAGGCGGGCTCGAACCTGGACTGGTGTCCGCGCCTGGCAGCCACGTGGCCACACCGTCGCCGAGCGAGCGGGCGGCCGCGCAGAGCCACCCAAGGCCAATCTCAACGTCCTAGCAACAATAGCCAACACTGACAAACCATTCTACACAGTCTGTCCGAACAACATGAACGTGCGGCAGAGCGTTCAAGGCCGATCTCAACGTCCCCGCATCGCTCCCCGCCACCGTGTCGACAGTGTTCGCCATGAACACCACCGGCACCGCGCCCGACCAGGCGTATGGCCTCGCGTAGTGCCACGCCGACGTGAACGCGTCATACTGCCGCGCGTGCCTTGACGGCTCGACGCAGGACATGGCCAGAGTGTGCCCTAGCCAGAAGAGCACCATACTCATCTACCACGCGTGCCAGCTGCAGCACTTCATCGAGAGCTTCTTCGCCGCCGTCGACGCGTCGATGGTGATCTCCTTGGTGAACTCGCAGAACGCAAAGTAGCAGGAGCAGTTCACGGCGTGGCTTGGCACGCTTATGGGCAAGGTCACAGAGAGGGCGGTGTACGCATCCCCACGGATGTTCGCGGTCAGCTCGGCCGCGGTGACACCCTTGGTGAACATCTACAGCAAGGCGCAGTGCACGCGGGACCTCTCAGGCGACGACTGCAACCGTTGATCCTCTCACGTTCTCTCTGTGGGGGCCATTTTGAAAGAGAGTTATCGAAGGGAAGGGGCTCAATGAAAAAATACCAAGCTCTCGAACTGGTATAGACCAGCAGTGCACAAGATAGAAAGTTTAGAGACTCAAAAATGCACTTTGAGAGTTGATAGACCCAGATGACACCCCTCCAAAAATTAATGGACCTATGATGCATTTTACTAAATTTTTTTTAAGAAGTTGCATATTTTTTTGGGTGTAGGGTTTTCGATGGATTATGTTACACACAAGGACCATACGGAGGTTTAGGTAGAAGTGGCTAAATGTTAGGGGTTGGGTTGTGCCCTGATGGACCATCTGTCGCATACCGGTGGTCCATCTGGCAGTCACAGTGAAGACACCAATGTCCAATCTCGAGCTTACTGAGAATAGATCAAGCCGCGTCTTCATGCAAGACTTGTTCGTAGAGGTTTCTAGAGGTCTCTTAGATACATCTAAGGATGTGTGTCGGTCGATTGTGCATATATACAAAGCCCTAGCAGTAGGAAGCTTCACCTAAAATCTGACCACATCCCTCTGTTCCGCCCCACCATTCTTTATCCTCCGTGGTGGGATGGCGCCTGGGGCTGGAAGCGGGTGAGCCGATGGATCTGCTTGCGGCCCGCCCTTGCCGTAGTGCTGCCTGTTGGGCGGCTAGGCACGGCGCAGGTATGTTGTGCTTGTGCCTAGTGCCTTCGAGGGCGAGAGCAAGGATGGAGTCGACGTATTCGGCTAGACACACCCCTAGAAGGATCTATGGATGGCTAGTTGGGAGGTGAAAAAAAAAAGTGGAAGCTATCGCTAAACAACGTTATCTATGGTCTATCCGGTGTATCGCCGATTAGCACTGTGACCCGTTTGGTCGTTCCTATCATTCATTTTCGTGTTTACAGTAGTCCTCTTACGTGTGCTAATCACTTATACTAGTAGGAAAGGATCAAGAGCCATCGTATACTTACAACTTACACTACGCGAGAAAGCAACAAAGGAGACGGCCATACCAGATACGGTATTTTACGCACCGTCACAGATAAAGTAGTACAGACGAGTGAAAAGACAACCATGTCTGAAAAATTAGTCAACAACCGCACATCCAATATATGACGTCTTATCTAAGACATGTCTAACTACGAGCCGTCTCTGATTTGCTTCTCTGGCGTAGTGTTAATCAACTAATCATGGCACTATCGTGCCTCGACAATCCTGATGCTTAACAGTGTAGGTTTTATCCCCCCCGACTCAAAAAGAGGACTTGGCCGTATGTTTCCAACTAACAGAATACAGAACTCATGATTACGTCATTAATTTTGGTTTGCAAAACTTTACGACAATGTTTTTTTAGGGCTGTTTGGATTGAAGGATTTTCACGGGAATTTCGAAGGAACACAATCCATAGAAAAGGAATTGAATGGGAGCGTTTGAATTGAAGGAATACAAAGTTCCATTCCACGTGAAAGGAAATAGTCGATACACAAAACGTAGGAAATAAAACATCCACTGAGATCAAGGGAAAAAAATTTCGCTGCTTATCTACTCTCCCACCAACGTTGCTTGTCACCGCCTCTGTCTCCTACCTTGCGCGCCATGGCTTGAGTTCCGTACAAAAATTGGTCGAGAACCATTCATCTCTGCCATGGATCTACTCATCCTATAACTTCCGATTTGGGCAACAAGGCTGTTATTAAGTGGATGCACACGATAGAGAGGGGAGAGCAGCTGATTTTAGACACGGGCTGTGTAGGATGATATTGGATAATGAGGATTTGGCTGAACTTTTCTTTACACGGGAGAGAGAAGAGGTAAGTCCAGCACTTTGTGCTTGTGCAGGAGATAGGAGAGCCGGAGGTAGAAGAAAGAGAAGAAAACCTGTGTGTGCACATAACTTTATTATGGGTCCCACGTTTGTATAGCAGTATAGGAGATAATAATTGTGAATTATTATAATAATGTGGTTAATAACTACACAAAACCACATCGGAAATAAATAAAAAGTCGACGATGCAACTTGTTTCACAATCCAAACGCCTCAAAATTTCCATTCCTCGCTTTTCATCCATCCTAGTTCCGTGTTTTCATAATTCTTGTTCTGCAATCCTTCGTTCCCGACATGGCCTTAAG